TCTAGTGAGATTAGTTTTTGTACTTCGCATCTCGCACAATGCGGTCGTTCGGTTAGGCTGAGATATGTTTGTTTAAGTGTCAAAATCTCAGTCAGAATCAGTTTTTTAACAAATTTGAAATAATTTCTATGAAATATTATATTTCACAAGTGTCAATACTAGCAACGGAAAATATCATGTCGGCCGTTTTTATGTGTGATAACAGAACCTAAAATCGAGGTAAGGCTAGGCCTAGCCAGCAGCGTTGGATAGGCTAATGTTTTCGGCGCCTACGATATTTCTTCTCACGACGCTGTCTGAGTTGGCCTTAAGGCTCCCCAATTCGATCAATCAGCGCCACCGAAAAAAAAAAAACTGTCAGTGATAGCGTGTAGCGATTTTATGGAAACACGGGGCATTACGTTATTATACATACATGCTTGAAAAACAGCGATATGCGATTTTCATAAGCTTAAGATTCCTGAAATAAGATACAGGTTACAATTTGGAAGCATCATTAAAAAAAATCTTTTCATCATAAAAAATAGCAAACGAGGACAGAAATGCAGTTAAACATAGGCCTATGACGTAGGCCTTGACAAATTGAATGTCGTTAGATTCCATAAAATAATGTTTAAGCAATAATTTACGTACGTGGGAGAAGGAACGGAGAAAATTTAATTCTTGATCAAGCAAGTCGTTTATTATAAATTGTTAATAGTAAAACGATTCTTAGGTTAACGATGATGACATATCACGTTTCTAATGAATAATACGTACAAAATCTCCCCATTTTTTACCCATGACTGCGCTCGGGCCCTAAATGAACTTATGCCACTAGGCTTAGGCTCGCCTTTGGGAGAAAAATAGGATTAGGAAGAAATATCTATTTCAAAGCAACAGAATAAAAAACGAGGTTCATTGTTTTGATATCAGTTTTAAAAGTTGACAGTTGAAAAAAGTAAACATGTCTCAATCCGTATCTGTCAGTGTACATGCTATGGGATTTTAGGCCTATTGAAAACCCCAGCAGAGTGAAAAACGTAAAATATAAGGTAGAACATTCATGACATGGGGGTGTCGGCCACTCCTACTCGACAATTCCATTAGGAGGATGACGAGTCTTAATGTGATCTATAGGCATATGCGTTATTCTGGAGTCACCAAAAGAGATGGGATAGATAAGTTAGAGTAAAGAGAAGGTTATTACCTTATTCACACGAGACCAATAAATGAAAACAGAATTCACGTTGCCGGAGAAAACATCGCCTTCCGTATACTGCATGAGAAGAGAAAAGCAACGAAATGATGCATGATATAAAACGTATCATGATGGTTCAAGCCACACGCTCGCCCCTCATGTCAACGAAACTGCTCGCGTGGAACCATGAATAAATATGAATAAAAACCTACGCTACAACTGTTATTGTGTGTATAATAAACCATGGTTTCGCGAGCTACTCCAAATCACCGTGTGGTGATTACGTTCGTTGAACTAGATAGACATATTAATCACACGGTGGACAGATGAACGAAACGACCAATCAACAGACATACTACTTTTAAAACGATAATAACCATTCATATAATTTACTTCGTATTCTATTCATTCGTTTATTATGTCAGTTGTTAGTAGATGGGTAGACCAAATAAAACCGTATTCATCGTTCGTCGTCAATGTCTACTGAAAATACAACGCCCACTTCTCCATTTGTAGCTGAAAAGAAGCACTTGAAATGAGCATCGCTGTACAGTTATGAGAATGTCAAGAGAATGAGGCTATATGGAATTTTGCACTGAAAGACTTTCTTTTTATTGCATTCGCATCCAAAAGCAAGTAACTCGCCAATTACAGTATGGAAATTACAGGATCGGTTAATGCTATATAAACCAAGTCTCTTATATGTAGGCCCTACTTATTTTCTAGCCTGTTTACATGCACTTAAACCATATAGGCTAATCCAAGACAGGACCAACGGCTTAAACGTTTCCGAACAAATGTTTTGAAATTTGGGGTGAGGGACATTGAGAGACTACACCATGACTCTACTCAGCCCCGCCTATGGGTGGGGATGAAGCGATACAATAGCACTCTCCCGACATTTAAAATGAAATCATTATCAGCGACGAAGTTCCATAGTGATATTAAAACAGGTAAGGCGCGTGGCCTACTGTTATATAGGCCTATATGTATATGTATATAATATATAAATATATATATATATATATATATATATATATATTTATATACATATATATTAACTACCAAAGTCAAAATAACAGAAGCTTGTTATTTTTAATGTATTTATTCTTGAACTTTCTAATGTTTCTTAATTCATTAAAAAAAATATTTTAAATACAAAAGAATTTGTTTTTTGTATTAGTTTCAACTTCATCCAAAAAGAAGTTTCTGTAATTTGGGAAAATTTTTTTTTTGTCCTTGTTTTCAAAATGTCTATCTACTTTTAAATTTTGATTTTTAATCAAAAAATCTTGTATAGAAGATGAATGTGCACTTTAGGTTTGTATGCAAGCTTATCTTTGAGTCGGGTTAACCCCCTGAAATCTAAAAAAAAATACTCATAGCTAGAACAAAATTAATCTTTGGCGTTTTTTGATAGCAGGGTATTGTGTGCTAGAAAAGCCTGGGAAAAATTTTTAATTTAGTAGACTCAAAATCGAGGTGGTTTGAGGCTTTACTTTACAGAATATAGCACTATTACGGTGGCTACTTGCCACCTGCTAATTTTTCCCACGGATTTTTTTTTTTTACCTAGAGAGTTCTTCCCGGCCCAGGCTATTTACCCCCATTTTTCGATGCATTGTTCCTCCTAGTTTTTCTATTGATTTTTTTTCCATCAGGTTATTTTCATTATACAGGTACTTTATAAGAGAGAGAACATTTTTTTAATTTTTTTAATTTTGTGTTTTCTCTATATCAATTAATTATTGTCTAGTCGTTGTAAAAGTTTACATTAAAAAGATTAAAAAGAATTTTTATCATAAAATTGAAGTTGAGGAAAGAAAACAGGATATCTTTATAACATGTTTTCTCTTTTGGAATTTCGATATCATACCTATTTTCTAGTCGTTCTATATACCCATATTTCTCTGCATCCAAAAAAAAAACAAAAAACAAAAAACACTCCTGCAAGTGGTGGAAGTATTATTTCTGTACTTCTACAGTACTTTTGAGGTCAATGCCCATTGGTGATTCTCTTCTACGATACGCCTACTTTTATTTCAAATTATGGGTTGATGGTAGCAAATACGCCTTTATCATTAAATATATTTCATTTAATTAATGTTATTTAATGTGTTTCAGAACATTAGGTCAATTTATGTTTTATAAAGTTTGCGTATTATATATTTTTAACGTTTCAGTATTACTAACGTTTATTATACACCGAATGCAATTTCTTATTGTTTTAACCAACTAGGATGTGAACAGAATATTGATAATTATGCACGTATTCTTTGCCTAAAGTTACAGAATTTGTTACCATATATTGTAAGAAAAAGTAGAATTTAAAATTACCAAAAACATTATAACGACTTGCTTAATTACGGTACCGGTACTCAGATATTATCATTTGGCCCGTGAGCCTTACTCAAAATAAATGTTGGCCCTTTAAACAAATTAATTAAGAATCAGTGGTGTAGGAGTATAACAGGAGGGGTAGAAAGAGTGTCGAATGTTAGGAAAGGTTCCACCACAACCTATTCATTTTTTGTTTGTTTGAGTAATGAATGTTTGTGTACATAGTTCGGGTGCTCAAATTAAACATAGGCCCTACATTGAAACTCGAATTGTACGTGGCTTTATTAAAAATATTTTTGTTTATGTACCTGATATTGTCAATAAACACTCCGTAAAAACAGCTTAAAAATGCTCAGATCGTCAGAACGCCCAGGGTATTTCCCCAGAATCCCCACCAGGGCCCCGACCCTGGATCCTGGCGGGGGAACTGCTGGCCGCCGGCCCGCGTTTCAAATCACGCATTTCAATTATTTCAGGTCGGTAACTATGTAGCTAGACATTTTCGGCTCCGTTACGGTTTTAGGCCAACCATAAACGAAATATTCTCTTTTTTTCTCGAAGTTTACTTCGATTGTATTACATAGAGGGCGCTTGGTTGGACATTTTTCGTAGCCACAGTATGGTTTTGCTCGATCTGCCCGTACGTGATCGTGTGGATCGGATACACATTATTATTTTACATTTCGAAGCCAAATAAATCTTTCTTTAAACTGATTTATTTTTGTTAAATTTATTTCAATATAAGGCCAACACAACAATTTTTTTTGTCCTAATCACAAAGCATAGATTTTCCAATGTTCACATTTGCAAATGTTCACATTTGCATAAGTATACGTCATCCCCTAACAACGCAACACTACTACTAGTACAACTACTAAACAACACAAAGTGAAAATCAATTGGTATGGCTACTGTACATTACGGTACTGCTTTGAACGTTTTTTTAGAAATTAAAATATCATATTTATTTATTTATTTATTACCATTCATTTTGCCTTTCAATATATATTTTGAGATCTAATATGCTCTACATATTAATTTCAAAACAGGTATTGGCTATTATAACAATCGATAATGACATCGAATAGTAATATGAATATGCAAGGCCTAAATATTGCAAGGTGTTCTATAACAATATCATAATAGGCCTAATATAATTATGCTTATAATTTCCGTTTTTTTTAAATTATGTAATATGGTTCCAAAAGGCTTATTATCAATTATATATATTCCATAGTTTATTTGTATTATTTATTTTAGAACAATTTTCACAATCAGCTAACGATTGTGCAAACCACTGCCCAACAAACTAGCCAACCAGTCAATGAAATACCAATTAAGCAATAAATGAATAAATGAATGAAGCAAGCATTAACAATCAATCAATCAATAAGCCATTAACTAATCAATAAATCAATAAGCCATTAACTATTCAATCAATCAATTAATGAGCCATGAACTAATCAATCAATGAGCCATTACCTAATCAATCAATCAATCAATGAGCCATTAACTAACTAATCAATCAATCAATCAATCAATGAGCCATTAACTAACTAATCAATCAATCAATCAATCAATGAGCCATTAACTAACTAATCAATCAATCAATCAATCAATCAATGAGCCATTAACTAACTAATCAATCAATCAATCAATCAATCAATGAGCCATTAACTAATCAATCAATCAATGAGCCATTATCTAATTAATCAATGAGCCATTAACTAACTACTCAATCTATCAATCAATCAATCAATCAATCAATCAACTAAATAGCCATCTTTAATCAGTAATCTATATGTTGAAACATGCTGAATCTTTAACCAACAGCTCAATCAATCGATTGATCAATCAATTATAAAACTAATAATTGATACACACCATTCAAGTGATGCGTGTATTACCACAAGTAACATAGATGTCTGTGATATAAATATCAATCAATCAATCAATAATATATTAATGATATATATATATATATATATTAGTGATATTAATTACTGACAATTCAACTGGATAGTTTTTATTCATGAATCAACAGTGAAACTGTCATTAGGCAACGTAAGGGTAGTTCTTTCCTCCATGTTACGGAGAAGATCAACAACTCTCTACACTAACTATACACAAGTGAAGCACTGCATAACGCCACCCACAAAGCATGGATTTTCCAAAAGTTTATAAATATAGGCATAAATATACGTCATCTCTTAAAAACGCAACGTGTTTATATATCTTTTGTATATATATTTTTTTAGTGTAAAAAAACATATGTGCAATTTTCCACATTTCTTCTCTGTTTGATGTGAGGTTAATTTTGTTCCCGAGGGGGGGGGGGGATGGTGTAGATAGAGGTGCTTGTTGACATTTGTTCATCCCTTTCTTTTCGCGGCTTTTTGTGTGTTGTTTTCCTTGTATTTTTGTTCTCTGTGCAGTGATGAAGCGTAATAAATAAATTACCACAAAATATTAAAAAATACAAAATGAAAATCATAGGCTACCGTAAGTTTCTGCCTTGAGCGTTTCTTTCAAATAGAAATGTCGTATTTATAATAATTGATAATGATAATCGAGTAATGAATATGTTAATGTAAGGCTTAAATACTTCAAGGTGTTCTATAACAATATCATAATAGGCTTCTTTAAAAATAAAATATGGTTCCAAAAAGCCTATTATAATTCTATATATTCTATATTTTATTTGTTATACAGTATTCATTTTATATAGGTCTACAATTTTAATACAATCAGCCAACCAAATAATCAATTAACCAACTACCCAACAAACGTGCACCAGTCAAAAACATCAATTAATCAATCAACTACATCAAATTAACCAATTTTAAACATAATATAATATAATAATAAGAATAAATAAATACAATTTTGTAATATAAAAAAAGTACGGGAATATAATACTTAAGTCTTGTTTTTTAAAGATTGTCATTGGTCATTTTGCCGCTGGGTCATTCGATGATCTTTTATTCTCGTGATAACTTTCTTCAGATTTAGAAGTTTCTTTTCCTCCTGCTTTCTTCAGATTTAGAAGTTTCTTTTCCTCCTGATAATAAAATAGTAACAGTAGTAAGACTAATAAAATATACGGTATATGCCCTATACTGCCTTAGTGTACAGGTATTATGTTTACTAATAAAGTATCCAAATGGGATACTTAGTAATGTGTGGTGTTGTTTACTGGAGTGACTTTTTAGTGAACTTTCTAGGACAGGTCTTATATTCATTTTTATCTTTAGTTCATGACTCATCCCATCATTCCTCCATACCGGATTTACTCGATTTTACAGGGTTAACTGCTAGACGATAACACGGGGGCCTATATAGCGAATAATGCAAAAAGCCTGTATGTGCTTCATACAAAATAGTAGCTAATTTAAGTCTCCGGAAATTTCAGAAATTTGTTGGTTCTATAATTTGATCGCTCTGGTCTCTTATATACACTTGATCACGAGCAGCACGAATAATTTACCCATCTTATATATGCCTATTGCCAAACATGTATCATTACCATGGAAATAAGAGGATTGGGCCATCATTCAGTAATGTTCTTTTTATAGACATTAGACCTATGCCTATAAGCCTATTATTCAACATTTTCAATTTCTGCCAAGTTGTTTTTCTGTATACCCTTGACCAAATAAATGCTTATTTTCATCCTTTCTCGACCCACACAGCAATTTGTCAACACTCTCTAAATGGTTGAATTTACCTGATAATACAGTAGATGATCACAACCAACATCGATATACCAATCACCACTGCTAACGACCCCACCGACCATTTATACACCAGCAACTCTTGTTTTAACTGTGTCACTTCACATGAACGATCTTCAGTCAGTGATCCATCACACTCATTCCCTGCGCATTTCGGGTATCTCTTAACGTAGCGTGATCGTTCTTGACGCGTTGCATTGTCGCACGTTGACCAGTCAGTCCAGTTGCTAAGTTGACAGTCGACGTTCTCGCATTGACAGCACTGACCACTGAACCCGTCTGGGCACTTGCATTCACCCGCGTCGTTGTTCAAAATTCCATCATTGTCACACATCCTATTACATGGCTTTTGCTGGATAAGTACTCCAGAACATTCGGCTCCGCCACACGTGGGTACAGTTTCTACATCACGCGTTCGTTTTGCCATTCCATGCGGCCCACACGCGTGAGAGCACGCCGACCAATTGCTCCAAGGTGTCATAACACAATCTTGGATCTTGCACCCACAGCAATGTCCACTGTATCCATCTGGACACGTGCATGAATCCTCGTCGTCGTCCAGAGTTCCGTTGTTGTAACATTTCCTGTTACACCCCTCTTCCTCATATAATAAGATCCTAAAACACGGGGCTCCACCGCAAGCAGGGTGCGTGGCCACACTACGATTTCTAAATCGCGTACCTTGAGGTCCACACACCTGCGTGCAGGTTGACCACTCACTCCATGGGGTCACTTCACAGTCCTGTATCTCACAATCACAGCATTCTCCACCGTATCCCTCAACACAGGTGCATGTATTGTTTTCCTGGATCAATGTTCCTTCATTATAACACAAGGTACAAGGCTCTTTGGTTGATACACAGAGGCCGTATAGTACGCCTAAAACTATACAGATCAATAGCAGCAAAATGATTGCAACTGGGTATACAATCTTTTTGTTTTTATCAGAATCGAGGTATACTTTCTCGAGATCACCACCCATCTTTACTAAATGCGTTATAAGTGCTCACTTTTCTAAAGACTCGGCATTATATTTGGAATAAATGACGGGACGTATTGAAAAAAAAAACGTCTGGAAAAACCCATCGTTACAACAACAAAGGAACGATATTTAAAGAAATGTAAATAGTCATCTTGGCAGTGTCGATTTAACACGATGTGGTTCGTATCAAATTACTACGTGACACATAGTCTACAGTACAGTTATGTGATAGGAAGACACGTGGGAAAACCCAGAAGCAACAATAAGGC